AACAGAATACAAACCACAAATAACAATGCACAAACACCAGAAGAGAAACTAGATAAGTGGGAGCTCCTAAAAATCAAACACTTATGCTCATCAAAAGACTTCACCAAAAGAGTCAAAAGACAACCTACAGACTGGGAAAAAAATTTTCGCTATGATAAATCTGATCAGCATCTAATCTCTAAAATCTACAAGATACTGCAAAACTTCAACAACAAAAAGACAAATAACCCAATTAAAAAATTGGCAAAGGATATGAACAGGCACTTCACTAAACAAGGCATTCAGGTGGCTAACAGAGGAAATGCTCAGGATCATTAGCCATTGGAGAAATGCAAATCAAAACTACAGTGAGATGCCATCTCAACCAACAAGGCTAGCATTAATCCAAAAAACACAAAATAATAAATGTTGGAGAGGTTGTGGAGAGACTGGAACACTTATACACTGTTGATGGGGTGTAAAATGGTACAACCATTTTGGAAATCAATTTGGCACTCCTTAAAAAGCTAGAAATAGAACCAACCCCACTCCTTGGAATATATCCTAGAGAAATAAGAGCCATCACACGAATAGATATACGCACACCCATGTTCACTGTAGCACTGTTCACAACAGCAAAAAGATGGAAACAACCTAGGTGCCCATCAACGAACGAACAGATAAAACTATGGTATATTCACACAGTGGAATACAACCTAACCATAAACAACGATGATGAATCCGTGAAACATAACATGGAGGAATCTGGAAGGCATTATGCTGAGTGAATTTAGTGAGACACAAAAGGACTTATATTGTATAAGACCACTATTATAAGAACTCGAGAAAAGGTTTAAACACAGAAGAAAACATTCTTTGATGGTTATGAGGGTGGGGAGGGAGGGAGGGGGTATTCAGTAGCTAGATAGTAGACAAGAATTATCTTAGGTGAAAGGAAGGACAACACACAGTACAGCGGAAGTCAGCACAACTGGACTAAATTAAAAGCTAGTAAGTTTCCTGAATACAACCAAACACTTGGAGGGACAGAGTAGCAGAGGTGGGGGTCTGGGGACTATGGTTTCAGGGGACATCTAGGTCAACTGGCATAACAAAGTTTATTAGGAAGATGTTCTGCATCTCACTTTGGTGAGTGGTATCTGGGGTCTTAATACTAGCGAGCGGCCATCTAAGATGCATCAATTGGTCCCAATCCACCTGAAGCAAAGGAGAATGAAGAACACCAAAGACACAAGGAAAGTATTAGCCCAAGAGACAGAAAGGGCCACAGAAACCAGAGACTTCAGCAGCCTGAGACCAGAAGAACTAGATGGTGCCTGGCTACAACCAATGACTGCCCTGACAGGGAACACAACAGAGAGTCCCTGACGGAGCAGGAGAAAAGTGGGGTGCAGAACTCAAATTCTAGTAAAAAGACCAGACTTGTTTGAGCCTGGAGGGACCCCGGAAGACATGGCCCCTGGACTCCTTGTTAGCCCAAAACTAAAACCATTCTCGAGGCCAGCTCTTCAGAGAAAGATTAGACTGGACTATGGGACGTAAAATGATACTCGTGAAGAGTGTGCTCTTAGCTCAAGTAGATACATGAGACTAAATGGGCAGCTCCTGTCCAGAGGTGAGATGAGAAGGCAGAGAGGGGCAGGAGCTGGTTGAATGGACACGGGAAATCTGGGGTGGAAAGGAGGAGTGTGCTGTCACAGTTATAGGGAGAGCAAGTAGGGTCACATGACAATATGTGTGTAAATTTTTGTATGAGAGACTAACTTGAATTGTAAACTTTCACTTAAAGCACAACAATAAAAAAAAAGAGAGAGGCCTGGCAATCAGCTTCTGAATGGTCACAGCCTTGAAAATCCTGTGGAGCATAGCTGTACTCTGCACACATGGGGTCGCCATGAGTCGGAATAGACTCAATGACAAATTACAAGAACCACAACTAGATAGGGCGCTACTTCTATAGGACAGTGCCGCTCTGGACCATGAATTCTTCCATTCGGCTTCACCTACTGCTTCCTTTTTTCCCACGAGGCTCCCAAGGGATTCTGAACCCCGCTTTTCTGTTTTTGTTTCCTAATTCCTGGCAGTTTTTTCCTTCTTCCCAAGTGATCACATCGCCTTCTTAATGCAGTAATTCCCAAGGCGGGGTTGCGAGGTTCTGAGAAGTTAGACCACCACGACTTTACAGGAGTGGTTCGGCAATCCTGGGATCTGGCCACCGGAGGGAGCTGCGCCGCGGCCCGTCGTTGCCAAGCAACCCGTGGCCCGGAAGTAGTTCTCTGGCCCTCCTGGCGGTGGGCTCCTGTGGAACGACTTCCGGCGGGGCGGGGGCGCGGTGAGCTGACTTCCGCGGCGGCGGCGCGATGACCACGCTCCGAGCATTCACCTGCGACGATCTGTTCCGCTTCAACAACATGTGAGTGAGGCGCGCCCCGAGGGGTCGCTGCTCGCCGGCCCGACCCCTCCCTGCCCGGGGTCTAGCGGAGGCTCCTACGCGCCCCTTCGGGCCGGAGGTCCAGGAGGGCGGGCGGCCCGGGGCCTGGCCCCGCGCGCGGACGTGGAGCTCTGGGCGGCCGCCTGAGGATGCGGCGGCGCTGTCGAGTCCACTGCCCGGCCGGGCGCCCGTTCTGCCGCCTCCTGGCCGTGACCACGGGCCGTGGCAGGTGGCCATCCCCGAAGTCCCGACCGCTGGGTCGCTGTCGGTCGGAACGACGCAGTGGGTGCCGAGCGCTCGGACAGAGGGTAGCATTGCCTGCGCGCGGAGTGTGGGCCGTGAATCTGCCCACGGGGCGGCTAGCTGGCGGCACGGTTAGCTTGTCTCTGAACGTTGTAACATTGTAATCCTTGCTCCCCGCCGCCGCGGCTCCTTCTCAGTGGGGTTTGTGTTTATAAACTTAGTTACTGTAGCTGCGCTCCGCAGTGTAGACACCTTTCTGGTGTGAGGAGCAGGAGCGGCGGGCAGATGCTTCTGGAGCCCACGGTGTGCACAGCCCTGTGAGCAGTTCCTTTCAGTTTGAGCAAGTCAGGCAGGACCTGTAACTTGCAGATACCTTTTTCTTTTTAAAGAAAACATGAAAATTTTTGAACCTTTAGGCAAGAGTTTCACTGTGGACGCCTGTAGACACAGCACCTGGATTCTACAGTTAACATTTTGCTGCACCGGCTTCAACATATTTGCCTGTCCCTTCAGCTGTCAGTCCTGGACCCACTTTTAAAGACCACAGGGCAGTATGTGAAAACTGAGGACCGAGTGGTTCAGATGGCAGGTGTTAGGAGGATGGGAAAGAACTCTGGGATGGGTGGCCAGGGAAACTTCAAAGAGGGAGGAGGCTTGAAGGATGCATAAAACGTCGATGCGCGGGGAGGAGGCAGTGCTGGAGAGGGAGAGGGTGTGGAGGAGTGGTCAGACCTCAGAGGAGATCAACTCGGATATTAAAAAAAACCCGTTGCTGTGGAGTTGATTCTGGCGCATAGCGATCCTATAGGACAGAGTAGAACTGCCCCGTAGGGTTTCCAGGGAGCTGCTAGTGGGTTTGAACTGCTGACCTTTTGGTTAGCAGCCAAGCTCTTAACCACTGCGCCACCAGAGCTCCAAGGTGGATATAGTGGAGGGTTTCTGTAACTGAGTAGTCAGGGAGAAGCTGGTGAAGCTGGACTTCCGCTCCATTGTTGAGGAATTTAGATTGGATCCTGTGAGGAGAATAAGCTACTGGGCCTGTCCTGATCCAAGCAGTACAGTTAACGCGGAGGCCTGGCACTGTTCTGAGTCTCCCATGCCATAACCCATTTAATTCCCACAGCCAGTGAGCTAGGTGCTGTCACTGTCCCCGTTTTATGTCTGAGTAAACTAAGGCACAGAGAGCTTAGGTGAACTGCCCCAGGTGATAGAGCCTGAGGTGGGAGTGGGTGGAGCGGGGAGTCGCATCCAAGGCCACAGCTCTAGAGCTGTGGTTCTCAAAGAGTGGCCCTGAGCAGCAGCAGGGGGATGAGAGGCGATTAGAAAAGGTAGAACAGAGCAGTGAGTCACCTAGGGGCCTTGGCAGTGCCCCAGAGATGACGACTTGACAAAGGCTTGGGTTTGGGAAGTGACAGGGTGCTTTAAAGCTTCAAGAATAGACAAGGCAAAGCCCTAGGAAGGGACACTTACGTGAAAATGAATGGAGTAGAAGGAAAATAAACCTGAACATTTATCATAAAACATTAGATTTTGAAGAACCATCAGTTTGTTAAAGGGCCTCTTCCAAATACGCCAATTTTCTCTTAATTCTCACTTCTCTGATGAGGGCACTTTGGTAGAAAATTCTGAGAAGTCACTGGATTGGGGTGTTGCATTAGGGATTGAAAGACACAGTGGATGTAGAAACATTGCAATTAACACATCTCTTATTTATTCTTGGAAAAATATTGGAGTGTCTGCTGTATGCCTGTGCTGGGGATACAGCATTGAACAAAACTGACAACTGGTGCTTTCATGGAACTTACATTTTAGCGGGGAAAACAGATAGGTAAATACAACATGTAGGATTTAATGTTAAATACACAGACCCAGGGGAAGTGAGGGAGTGAGATGTGGATGCTGGGGGAGGAGAGCTCCTGGGTAGAGTGCAGAGAGACCCGTTTCAGATAGAGGGAGAAGGCCACGGTGGCTGGAGCAGAGCAAGTGTGGGAGCGTAGGGATGTGAGGTCAGTGGTACAGGGGCTGGACCTTGGAGAGGCCATCCTTGGGCATTGGGAGGACTTGGGCTTCGCTGCCAAGTGCATTTAAGAAACTCAGGTAGAGGGGTCAGGTAGGCAGCTGGACATGGGAGTCTCAAGTTAGGTCTGGGCTGAAGATAGAAATTTGGGGATCAACACCATATAGATGGTATTTAAAACCACAAGGCTAGGGGACATCAGTGATGGAGTGAGTGTAGACAGCTTAAGGCTGGTGCCCCAGGACACTTGGGTTAGAGCCCAGAGACCTGAAGAGAAGCCAGTAAAGGAGGCTGAGTGGCCTAGTGAGGGGGTTGGAAAGCCAGACGGTAGGGCCTGGAAACCGCATGAAGAGCCATTTCCAGTGGAGGGAGTGGGAAGCTGTCGAGAGGTGCTGCTGGCTAAGTGTACAGCATGTTTGTGTACTTCTTCCAGGAGAGTGAGAATTGCAGGAGCAGGGTCCTAGGTAGTGAGAGGGGTGCGATCTACTCACCAGCACTCCGTCCATGGCTTTGGTGGGTTTGATGGTGGGACCGGGGTGAAGCTTTCTTCTTACTGATGTATTTTCTGTGAAATAGGAGGCTGCTGAGATAGAGAAGGGGGGAGGCCTGTTGGAGAGCTGAGGATGTAAAATAGTCATGAAGAAGTGTGGGAGAGTGAATCCCCACTCTGGACTCAAGTACACTTCTCCAAGTGTGGACTGGGGATCTAGAGGGTCCCCACGTTTGTTTCGGGGACTCTGCGAGGTCAAAGCTATTTTCATGATAATCCTAAGATTTTTTTTTTTCCTTTTGCACACCCATTGTCTCACAAGTATATACTAGAGTTTTCTAGATGTGTGATCTTGCAACAGATTGACTGTAGAAGGAGATCTGAGTCTCCTGCTGCCCTCTATTAAGCCAGCCATTAAAGAGATTGATAAAACAATGCTACCTTTGCCAGTAATTATTTTTGTTTTGGAAAATATAGTGACTCTCGTAAAAATAAGTTATTTATGTTAATATGTAATAGGTTCACTTTTAAAGGAATGAATATTTTTAAAAATTTTAAATATTGATAGCTATAACCCACATAAACAAAAGCTTTTTGGGGTCCTCAGTAATTTTTAAGAGTGTAAAACGTTCTGAGACCAAAAAGTCTAAGAACTTCTAGGCAAGAGAAATGTAGTGTGACTATCAGGCATCATTGAAGAATTCACATGATGTGGGAAGAGGAGTAGGGTCCAAGTGAAGAGAAGAGTTGAAGGTAGCTTGTTTCAAGCCTGGCAACATATAGTTCTGTTCATTGACTAGGTGAGTGAGGGGAGAGCTGATGGGAATGGAAGAGGAGGAGATCAGTGTTGAGAATGCTGGTGATGGGGAGGAAGCTGAGGCTGCCCAGCAGCAGCTGGAAACATGGCATCAGAGCCTGTTTGGGGAGGCTTACTCTGAGAGGACATAACTGAAGAGTAGGAATGGGGTAGCGGGGAAGGGGAGGTTGGAATGTAAAAAAAAGAAGTGATGGTGGGGGCAGAGGCCGAGTGGTCAGAGTACCCACGTTTAGAGGACTGAAGAGCGAAAGAGAAACTTGTCAGGGAGGCCCAGAGACGTGGGGAGGGCCCGCGTGGCCAGCTGCGGCCCTGGTTCCAACTTGTTCTTGTGACTCATGCTTACTTGTTCCTCAGCTGCATTAACCACTTACTGCTCTTTAAAAAATGCAGGATTTTGATGTAGCTGTAGTAACTATACAAGTTATCTGTAAAGAAGCGGTTAGCTGAAAATGTAGAGATACCTTTATAGTCACTGTTAACGGCTTATATGGCCATTATTTAAACCATTTTCTTTGGCCCTAAAGTTGGTCTTAAAGTTGTGGATTGTGGATTTAGCATGTATTGTTCTCCTTTGTTTCAATGGGCTATTTAAACTCGTTTTTGTAAACATTGCTTACTATTGACATTTCCCTTATTTCTTTCAGTAACTTGGATCCGCTTACAGAAACTGTATCCTTTCTTTGAAAAGTTAAATGAAGACTTTCCAAGAATGAAGGAAATGGAGAAAACAAAAGGAAAAGATAGACAATTACTGACAACTTACAAACTTACAGGTCAGGGAACATCCTAAGCAACACTGAAAGCAATTAAAAAACTAACCGGGATCAAGAGCTTTCTTAATCTGTTTGACAAACTGTTACTCTACTGACCTCATATAAGCCTGTAACATTCGGCCCCCCACCCACCTCGCCCTTCAGTCGGGAGTACGGCTGCACACAACAGAAAGCGCAGTGACTTCAGCAGGATGGGTCCTTTTTGTCTGCTGTAAACCAAGGCTGGGGTAAGCAGTCCAGGGCGGGTGGTGGTTCCCTGAAGTCAGTGGCTAGGCTCCTGGCAGATTAACCACGCTGCCATTCCCAGGGTAGCTTTTGGCTTCCTTTCCCAGATGACTGCCAGGGCACCAGGCATCACATCCATGCTCCTGTCTGCAGAATGAACAGAGGGGAGGAGGGAGCGTCCTTCCTTTTAAAGGCACCTGCGGGAAGTACCACACATTCCTGTGGCTTATTGATCGGCACCTGTATCACGCAGCACCTGCCCAGGAACATGCCCAGCTTAAAACTGGGCTTGTTACTAAAGTAAAGAAGGGATTTGGGGTAACTATTAGCAGTTTCTCACACTCTCCACTAGAAAAATGGGCAAAGATGTGTGGAGTTAGGGTACTCTAGGCTATGATGCACTAACAAAAAACCCCTCCATTTCAGCAGGTCAGAACACAAAGTTCGATTTTGGGGTTATGCTCCATGTCCGCTGCAGGTGGATAGGAGGATTCTGTTAACTGATAATTTAACAAAAGAGGACACAGAGGAGGCTAGTGTTTATTCTCACAATCAAAACATGTGAATTAAACCCAAAATGAGATGCCATATTTTACCGATCGAATTATCAAGTATTAATAAAAATGGTAAAACTCAGTGCCGGTGAGCATGAGAACATTCTCGTAAATTGCTGGTACAAGCATAAACTGCTCTCCTCTTTCTGGAAGGCACTTCGGCAGTATGTGTCATACTGAGTAACTCCACTCCCTGGAATTTGACAGTAATCAGAAGTAGAGGCAGTCATGTCAGGAGTTGGCAGACTACAGCCTGTTGTACATAGCAGTGCCAGTTAATTTACATATCGCCTGTGGCTTTCGTACATCAAGTAGTTTAACAAAAACCACATGGCCCACGGAGGCTAGAATCAAATACTCTCTGGCACCTTAACAGAAAAAGTTTGCTGACCCCTGAGTAATATCATTATAAAAGTATTTATTACAGGGGATTTGGAATAACATTCACATAAACAATAAGGAAACAATTAAATTATGCTGCATTCCTGAAGGATTTAAAATTTGAGAAATTGGAAATGGCTCCGACGCCTGTTGTCAGGAGACAGGATATTTAACTTGTTTATTGATTCACATAATGGAATACTGTATAGCAGTAAAAATTAACTACAGGTCTTGGCAACAACATGACTGCTTATTAGAAATGAAATTGAGTGGAAAAAGCAAGAAAAAAATTCTCTAGTTTTTGTTAGTATTTTAAAATTCATTAATGATTAAAGTTCTCTCCATGTTTAAAAAAGGTTTTCGAAGAATGAATGACAGAAAAGTTTTCACTATGTAGTAAGGGAAAATGATGAGGATGCAAATCGATTTATATAGTGTGCTTCCAGTTACACCTGAATTTCACAGTAAAAGTCTTGTAATCCAGGTGGACCCATGTTGGAAAGTAACCTGCCTGCTCCTAGTGGCCGCAGGGAGAGGTGGTTATGTTGTGTGTCAGTAGCTGGGTGGCAGGGAGATGGGCTGGTCTGCCATTTTAAGGGTTATGTTTGAGGAGTACTCAAAATAACGGCTGTCCTTCAGAGGAGAGTGTGAAGAATTTAACACTGAATAGGTTTTCCAGGAATTTGCTTTAGGTGTGAGTAGTGGTATCCCCTCATAGAGCTGCAGCCCCTTCTTATACTAAGAAGAAACATATGTCAATGAAAACAGCCAGGGTGGAAGAGTTACATAATGAGCAAATTATTCTGGCATTCCCTCTTAACATATTTGATTCCTTACATCAGCTTCTATGTTTGCACTAACAAATGGAGAATTTGAATCAGTGGAGGGAAAAAACTGGCTAAGTCTCTTCTTGAAGTACTTCAGTCTAAAAGTTATCTTCACAGTCTACAGCTGAAGCCCAAGCAGAAGCTGGCCGTTAGTTTTTAATGTGCAATTTTCATGTGTAATTATGGAAACATAAATGTATCGAGCATCTCCTGCATGTCAGGCACTGTTCTAGGCACTAGGGATAGAGCCAGCAGGACAGAGATCCCTGCTGCTCACATCTGATGGAGAGGAGACAGTGAGCAGGTAGAAATGTCAGGTGATGGTAAGTACTGTGCTGAGATTCAGACAGTATGATCAGGAGTAAAACATATTATAGAAGAACTTTGGAGTGCTGGTTCTCTGCTTTCTATTAGATGGTGCTGTCTCCATTCCACATTTGAGTTATATGTTCAGGGAATCTCTTAAAAATCAGTGCAACCTAAATATTTCATGTAATTCTATGATTATAGAAATACAAAGAGCTGAGGATACAGTTGCAAATAATATACTTTTTAAAGGGAACTTTTTACTGTCCATTACTTTGCATACTCCTTAACGTGACTGTAGTATGGGATTCCTTTTTACTTACAGTACCTCGCCCACTGGCCAGAGTATTTCATCGTTGCAGAGGCACCTGGTGGAGAGCTAATGGGTTATAGTAAGTACAACAACACTAGTATTTTTGGAGGTAGGTAGGTAAGGTTTTAATATATAGGTTTCATCCTAATTGTTTTAGATTGATTGCGGACTTGGAATAATCATGGTGCCTAGAATCTCATTTCAACACTGAACAATTCACTGATGTCGTCTAGGTTTTAGACATTATGCCAGGCCAAGGAGGTACGGTGGTGAACCAGACAGTCACGGTCTCTGTCTTGAATCTTTCATTCTGTATTTGTTAAATTTCTACATGATTTATTCGGTACATAGTAAATGTACCAAATACATTTAGTTGTACGTGTCAAATTAGTGTTACACTAACCAAAAAATTGGAGCTATAGATTGTCTTAGTTATGGACACACACACCCGCACATATACATACACACACAATATATTTTAAAAACATACATATGCTTGTTCTTTGTTGAAAATTAGTTGTTTTTAGAATATCATCACTTTTTAAAAACTTTTTCTAATTCTGATTCTAGAATTAGATTTAACATTACATTGTGAAATTCAAATAAAAGTACTAATCCTTAGCCACATGACCTCAAATAGTACTTAAAAATGTGCCAACAGCAATTACAGATTGATGCCTAAATCAAGTGTGTTTAATTACTGAACACAAGTTTTTGTTGGCAGTTATGGGGAAAGCAGAAGGCTCGGTGGCGAGGGAAGAATGGCACGGGCACGTTACAGCTCTGTCTGTTGCCCCAGAGTTCCGACGCCTTGGTTTGGCTGCTAAACTTATGGAGTTGTTAGAGGAGATTTCAGAAAGGTGAGGTCCTGCTTTTCAAACATACCTAATGATTTATAGACCCTAATCATTTCAGTTTTTCTCTCGGTGAACATTTCTAAGTTTTTTTCTCCTTCAGGCTGAATTTCTCTTGTGCTTTAAAGTTTGCAGGAATTTCATTTTCAGCCTCCAACAGTCCTCACAACAATTGAGAGCAGTATTATTGTTGCCACTGTGCCACTGAGGAAACTCAAGGCAGAGTGTTGAGTGACCTGTTGCAGTCAGAACCGGGGTAGTTGGTGGGATCTAAGACTAGCCCTGGAGGTTTTTTCTGAGTGTTCTTGCCACGATGCAGATGTTCTCAGATTCTCTGTTTATGTCACCCTTGGTGTCTCAGTAATTTTTCAAAGTGTCCCTAGGCCAAAAGAAATACCTAACAGTTCAGTGTTAAGCAGTTTTGTTCTAACTGCTTAATATTTATTTATGGCTTAACAACCTAAAGGCTGTTTGGAAAAAAAAATAAATTGAAAGAAAAATTATTTTTATTTCATTCTTAAATAATTGTGGTTGCCTACTCATGGGATATGTGTGCATGTTGGGCATTGACTGACTTCGTAAACCTTGCAGACAGATCCAGCACCACCACCTGCATTGCCATTTCATTTTTACTCGGTACTTTTTTTTTTTAAATAAATCACAGAAGTTGCCAAAAACCCGGCTTCATAAATGTATCATGCCATTAAAAAATGTAGCACGATCTAACGTTGAATTTGTGACCTTCCTCAACCTAGTAATTTGCCAGTCTGGTTTCATGATGTTTTCCCTGAACATCTAAAATACCCAGTGGTGCCTCTGAGTTTGCTGGGGTACTTTAGGGTGCCTCAATGCACAGTTTGAGAACTGCCAACGTTATTTTTATATATCAGACACTCTCATGATGCAGTCCTTGGATGGTGGAGGTTCAAGTCCACCCAGAGGTGCCTCGGCAGAAAAGCATGATGATCTACTTCCAAAAAATCGGCCGTTGAAAACCCTGTGGAGCACAGTTCTACTCTGACACACGTGGGGTTGCCGTGAGTTATAACTGATTTGACACCAACTGGTAGGTACCCTTATTATGTGAGTTAAACAGTAATGAAAAGAAAAGGCTCCTTTCCCAACTCCCATCCTAGAAGAGATGAGATGGAAGTTTAATCAGTCATCAAGCTGCCATTTCTTTTTCCTCTCCAAATGCCTAGAAGTGTAGTAGGAAAGAGACAATAGCTGCGGAGAAGGGTTTTTGAGGCGTTATTTCTACTTAGTTAATGGATATAATAAAAGTAAATTTTGAACAAGTTTAACTGTGGCCTGACAAACACTCTGAGCCAGGTTGGGAACAAGAGGAATTTGAACTCATTCAGACAAGAGAAGAAATAGTGTTAGCTGAAAAAGAAGTCAACTGTAGTCTTTAGGAATTTTAAAAATTCACCTTAGACTTAACAACGGGAGAATTTTTTTTAGCAAGATTACACTTTACACACATTTATTAATGTCATACCTTGTTAAAAAAAAGTATTTGGCATTATTGTATAGTGGACAAGAAGTTAGGAAGCGGGTTCTACACTAGCTTGTACATATAATTTATTTGTAAGACAGACTATCTCTGAGTAGAACACCACTAAGCTCCCTTCCCTTCCATTTTCTTACCAGTTGGTAAGATTTAAGTGATCTTTATTTGTGTATATGTACATACATACACATTTTAAAATGTACACATTTAAAATAGAAACAGTATATAATTTTCAAACAAACAAGTAGAGGAGAAAAACTGGAATAATTATGTTATATAGCTCAAGGCAGTAATTACTAGAGTAAAAAAGGGTTCCTGCATATTGATAAAAGATTTAATTCATCAGGAAGATGTAACAATTAAAAATTTTATATTCCCAATGACATTGTTTCAAAGTAAAAACACAAAAATAGATTAAAAGCTTTCATAAAATCCAGTATTTATTAGTGAGGAAAAAAAAAAAAAAAACTTAGCAAACCAGGAAATAGGAGGGGAGAACTTCCTTAACTTGAAAGCAGAGTATCTACAGAAACCTGCAGTAAATATGTTTTATGGTGAGGCATTGAATGCTTTTCCTTTGAAATCAGGGACAAGCAAGATAGGTGCAGTCCACCCCTCCTTAATAATTTATTGAAATCCTAGACGGCGTATTAAAGCAAGAGAAAGAAAAGATACGAGGATTGAGAAAATAGAAACAAAACTGTTATTTGTCAGATATGACTGTACAAATAGAAAGCCACAGAATCTACAAATAAATGTTTAGAATAAAAGTTAAGCAAAGTTCTTGGATATAAAATCAGTATAAAAATCTACTCCATTTCTGTATACAAACAAAATTTAGAAGAAGATGCCATTTGCAATGACATCAAGAAATACCAAGTGCTTAGGAAAATTTAACAAAAGCTGTGCAAGACCTCTCAAGTTTATAAATTTTTATTGAGAGACATTAAAGATGACCTACTTAAGTGGAAAGACAAACTACATCCATAGATTATAGGACCTGATACCGTAAAACTCATAATTCTCCCCAGATCGATCCACAGATGCAATGTAATCAAGTCAAAATCTCAAGTATTTTTGTGCGACTTGATAAGGTGATTCTGAAACTGATAGGGAAATCCAAAGAGCCAAAAAGAGACAAGATATTCTTGAAGAATAACAACAAAATTGGGTGGATTTGCCCCTCCAGATATCAGAGTGTAGTAAGTCTGTGTATTAGGGCTGGGATAGTTGTCCAGACCAGTGAAACAGAATTTGAGAAACAGATCCAGGCATCCGTGGATTCCTGCCTGACATAGCTGAGAGGAGACACTGCAGATCAGTGGTAAGAAGACGGACTTTCTCTGAAAGGTGATGGGACAATAGGATATCCATGTGGGAAAGTATTTTTCCAGAGTACTATCTTACCAGACATAAAAAATCAATTCCAGATTTATTAAAAACCTAGGCATGAAAAGCAAAACTAAAAAACCCTTAGAAGATAATAGAGAGTATCTCCATAACCGCGGGATGGAGAATTTCTTAAACAAGCGAAAAAAGCACTAACTGTAAAGGAAAAGTTCATATATTTAACTTCATTGATGTTAAGGAGATTTGTTCATGAAAAGATACCATAAGGATAATAAGCCAAAAATTAGAAGATACTGGCAAAACATTAACAGTGTTCAATATCCAGAATACACAGAGAACTACAACTGAAGAAAAGAAAACTGTGTGAAAGACCAATATGTACTACACATAAGGAGAAATCCAAATGGCTGGTAAACATAAAAACGTATTCAAGGCTTGTCAGTAATCAGAAATGCGAACTGGATACCATTACACCGTAAGGTTGAGATACCGTTACACCGTAAGGTTGGCAAAAATAAGAAATGCCTGATGCAACAAGCCTTGGTAATGTGGGAATGGAATTTTACCCACTTCTGTGGGAGTGTAGTTGGTGCAACCTGGTTGGAAGCAGTTTGGCGTTATCTAATAGAAGCTGAGGATGTGCATGCTCTGATGACCAGTACTGACACTCCTAGCTGTTCACTTTAAATGTGGTACCATGAGAGACACAACAAGAATACTGATAGCAGCATAGTTTGTAATAGTAAAAACTGGAAAGGCTTTTCAGTAGGACCATGGACAACTTGTGCTATCTTCACTCAGTGGAATGGACGAGCTGCAGCTACACAGGAGGCTGAATCTCACAATGACTGACTGACAGAGGCAAATTACGAAAGAAAATAAAAAGTCAGATTCCACTTACATAAAGTTCATAAACAGGAGCAACTAAATTATAATAGGTGGTAAATCTATAGCAAAAAGCAAGGAGATGATTATCACGAGTCAGGATGTAGGGACCTCTGGATGAGTGAGGGACGTTACTGATGGAGGGGCCTCAGGCGTAGCTATACTTGAGTCATGGCCACATAGGATCATGCCTCATAATCTTTAATTTCGAATAGGTTTATACATACGAGTGAAAACACTGTGTGCCATGACTAGTTTGTAAAATGAGCACATCAGTTACTATGACAAAGTACACAGTAATTTTTTTAAGCCAGAGTTTAGAACTGTTAAAGAAAAATGCTTTTTTGAGGTTTATCTTTTAAGAAAACATGTAGGTTTTGAAATATTGGTATGCACACAAAGTCATCTTTTTATACTACAAAATAATTACCATAAATCCTAAATAAAAAGGTTTTGTTCAGAAATATAGTCACTGAGAATGATTTTTCAAGTAATGTTTTAAAAAGCACTATGATATAATCAGATGTAAAGTCCTATTACTACCATTTTATAAGTAGTAGTCACAACAAAGTAAAAAGTAGTCTAAAATATGTACACATCTATTTTCTAGGGTTTCTCACATTCTAACGTTTTCCTTTTTGTTTGTTTTTAAAGAAAGGGTGGCTTTTTTGTTGATCTCTTTGTAAGAGTATCTAACCAAGTTGCAGTCAATATGTACAAGCAGTTGGGCTACAGTGTCTACAGGACGGTCATAGAGTACTATTCAGCCAGCAATGGGGAGCCTGACGAGGATGCTTATGGTAAGCTCCCTTCTGTGGCAGGACCTGCAAGAGGACGCCGGAAAGTTCACGTTCATTCTGCAGACTGAAATAGTCAAGTATTTTAATACATTTAGAAGAATCACACTGAAGGATATTTGTTGTTTAAGTACGAGCTAGAATATTTAAATCTCTTTTAACCTACCGTTATAAATCTGCCAATAGTTTACTTATATTAACTAACCAATGGTTAAATTCTGTAAATGGTTGTTCAGGCAAGTTATTTTACTAAGATTTGGCGAAAAAAACATTTGTGTGGTGAGCTGAATCCCAGGTGGGGGCTCTGGCTAGTGTATTTACACCTCAGAGTTATAAATACATTTCTCTTAGAATCTGGTGGACATGGGGTAGGGGTGAAACTTCTGGTGGTAATCTTACCTATATGCTTTAGCTGTTACATAAAGTGTTTTTATATTTGGGTACTTACATTAAGTTTTCCTTCCTAACAGATATGAGGAAAGCACTTTCCAGGGACACAGAGAAGAAATCCATCATACCATTACCTCACCCTGTGAGGCCTGAAGACATTGAATAACCATGGGCAGTGGTTCTTAGGCAGATCCTCCAGAGAGTTTATGGACAATGTTATTTTCACTGGATGATCTTGGAGCTCTTAGGAGGAGAATAATCATTTAGGTCTTAAAGACGTCAGAAAATACAGGTTATAAACGTAAGCAATATCATACTTACTAAAAGCTGTTCAAAGGAGCCCTGGTGGTACATGGTTAGTGCTCAGCCATTAACCGAAAGGTCCGTGGTTCAAACCCAACAGCGGTTCCATGGGAGAAAAGACCTAGAGATCTACTCCTGTAAAGATTACAGCCTAGGAAACCCTACGGGGCAGTTCTCTTCTGACCTAGAGGGTGGCTATGAGTCAGAATCGACTCGACGGCACGTAACAACAAAGCTGTTCATTGTAATAAAATTCAGTCGATAAGGCAGCTAGGTCAGGAGACCTTCCACTCTGATGGTTCATAATAGTCACTAAATGCTAGGGAAAACCTTGCTCCAATTTCCTCCTGAGTTCAATGCCTGAGAACCACTGCTGCATATGTATTTTTTATTTTGTATTCAAATGTTAATTGAAGCTTTAAAAGCAAATATGAAATGTGTAAATCTAAGATGTATAATAAAATACATAGTTGACCCTACAAATGTTTTATGGAAGTTTGTTGGTCATTTATACAACTACATCAGAATTAAGAAAAGTAATCATTTAGGATGTGTTATTTCTCTTACTGATTGTACATTTTACCTGATTTTATGCACACCTGAGACAATCCCAGCCCAGCATACGTAAGCTTTCTTCTTCCTGCACAGTAAATTCTTCAGTTAACTTGTTTTCAGTGTTAGTCCCTGATCTTTTGTCGCTTCTCATAATACATTGCTTAAATCTTGCCTTTCTGAATACAGACATGCTGTTCTTTTTTTTTTGTTTTTTTTTAAAGGGGAAAAAGAACTAATCCCTAAAGAAAGGCCATATAACTAGATCACAGGCCTGCCATGTATTTTCATATGTAGTTTCATCACCTGTAATACCTGAAAATACCCAGTGAGTGAAAGAAACAGCTAGAGAGAAAGCCAGAAAGAATGATTTTTATGAAAAAGCTTTTACTTTTGAAAGGACTTACTTCGGTGGAGTTTAGGGTCTGAGAGAAATAAATCCTGTTGGTTCTCCCGTGAGAGAATAACTTTACTTCATGCGTTTTACACTGGCACTTGTCAGAAACTGTTAGGAGTTTACACTGAATACTTGAGAAGTAATTTTTTCTCGTGCACGCATGCAACATAACAGGTAACTCTAGAAAAACTCCATGACCAGTCACTTACATTAGTATTCTGACCTGCTTTCATTTCACCCCTTGACTTAGTCAAAGGGCATTAAAATGACAAATTCTCCTCACTGACTAGACCCACTACTCAACAGTCAGAACGGAGCTGACACCTAGTGGCAGCTGTCTGTCCAGCGAGCACAGATTGGCCTTTTATCCTAATCTCTCTTATTCTGCCCTCAAACACTATCTTATTTTTAAATTACAATTTAATAACATTGACTAGCTTTTATTCCCTTGGGTAAATAAATAAGTTTGCAAGTTTAATAACAAATTGGCTCATTACTGGTTCTTTGTATAAAAAGCATTCTTGAAAACAAGGTGCTAGTTCAACAGTGTGGGTAGTGAGCAAAACAAGCAAGCGTGCTTGAGAAAGACAGGCCAGGCAGAAGGACACCACCTCAGAGCAGCTAGTTTGGGCAAGTATTTTTTGCTTGAGAATATGAGCACGGTTATCAGCAAACATGTTATCATTCTTTTGCTACTTTCAGTTTGATTATCTAACAGTTATCTTACGTGTTTTTACACATGCTCTAAACCAAGGGTAAGTTTATTGTGTCAGGTGTGACGGGTGCGTTTTCTCCTGTGGCATGCTGGGAGTGATTTATGGGTTCTCTCCAGTAAACAGTTCCACTGTCACTTTGGGAAACAATATGGCACTATCTTTCCTAAAGCTTCATAATGCATAGTAGCGTATCAAAAGCTCTGAAAAGCCTAACTATATAAAGGGACTTGAAAAACAAGAGTCAGCCCTTAATCCAGGGTTCCTCAAAGTCATCTGAACAAGAGACATCGTTTCTCACAGCACACTTATTACCGTCCTTTAAAAAAACCGAAAGTCAGCCAGTTTGGCAAACTGATCAGAGCATAACTGAAATTTAACTAAAATGTTCTTGGTAAAAAAGGCCTTGTTCAGAAATATAGTCACTGAGAATGATTTTTCAAGTAATGTTTTAAAAAGCACTTAGACTATTCCTGCCCACTATTAAGAAGTAAGGCTATTTAGAAGTTAATCTGAGCACATTCAATTCTATAAGGAATTAACACATGTAAGATAGTGGCTGGGAATGAACATTTACTGCACCTACTATGTGCCAGGTAGATTTCTAATTTATAAAATGAGCTGGCAAATTATTAGCCCCATTTTACAAATGAGAAAATGGAAAATAAAGGTTAAATTACATATTACTAAGTGGCAGAGCTGGGTACTGAACTGTCTGTGACTCTGAAGATAAGAAAAAAATTACAGATTTGAGGTGAATGCATAAAAAAAATCTTCATGAAGAACACAAGCATAGGAAAACTACACCTTCAAAGTTAGTGTAGAATGTAACCTGAAAACTGCTAGAAAAAGATCTTTAAAATAGTCTGGAATCCATTTAAAATATATGCTAAATGGTAACTAGATTTCCTAATGCATGACATGGACAAACTGATTAGGAAAGTTGGGCATCAGTCAGATAAAGAAATCCAGCAGTTAAAAAACTCCTTTACTTGCAACCCCCCACCCCAACTCTAACCCAAGAGCATTTTAAAAATAATTCAAAAAGTAGCTCCAGCCAATTCATTACTGGTGAAATATACATGAACTTACAGGAGTCACAAGAGTTCCAAAGTATTAATTTATAAAAACGAAGCATTTATCAATATGAAAAAAAGTCAGGATTCCCTCTCATCAACGTCCTTATCTGGGTCTTGCTCAGCAGCCTCCTTTTCCTGTTGCTGCTTCTTCCAAAGTTTGGCCATCGCCAGGAGCTTGAGGTTGGGCTGGTTAGCAGCATCTTCGGGAAAGATGTAATCGTAGTATTCTTCCCAGCCTGCATCAGACTACAGAAATAAAGCAATTAAAAGATAAGCTACCATGTGGCTGAAACACCCACATTTTGGTTAAAGTGGAGGGAATTTTCACTGGGAAACCCAGAGAGTTCAACTTTTCTTCATTTTACAAAATAACATCAAAGTTTACAGAAAGAACAAGGGCTGAGCCTGAAAGACTGGGAATGAATAAGTAGCTGTTGGATTGGGATTTGTAATTACAGCTCACTGAGAGAAAATTCTAGACATCTAAGCATAGTTCCTCCTACAGTCAGTCAACCAAGCAGCAGCTGTTCAGTGCCTACAACTCCATCTTGCAGTCTTTTGGTTAAAATTTTAAATGCTTAAGATTTACTTAATATTTACCTGGTAGCCAAAGCCATAAACCTGTATGTTATTATTCGGGCTCTCTGCCCTCACATCCCCACCTCCCATCACTCACTTCACTTCCCAAACACTGCTCTCATGTAGGCCCTGCTCTAGTTCCAACCTCCACATCAGTTGCTTAGTTTACAACAGCCTCTGACTGGTCGTCTTGTCTCCAACACAAGTCCCTTAAGTCCGCCTGTAGGAGATGCCAGAGATGTCGCCAAAAGATGACCTGGTAATGTCACACCCAACTTCTTGATGTGGCCTACAAAGACTTCTATGGACTGTCTCCTACTAGAAGTTCAATTTCATTTCACACCACCCTGACTACACGTAGTTTCAGGAATCAATCGCCATGGAGCGCCTTTGCCAGCCCTCTCCCACTCCCCAACCGTGGCTGGACTATATGCCCTGCTGTTTCTGTAGGAGCCAGATGGAAACTGTCTCCCGCTCCAGGCTGTCTGTTCCCATCCTAAGACTGTACACATGCCACTTAAAAGTACAATTTCCAAGTCAGATGTACTTTCTATTCATTCGCCATGAGAGGAACAGCTCCAGGGGCTTAGTTCTTACCCCATCGTCGGCCTGGACCTTTCTCCTCTTCTTGACTTTCTCTGGCATGAGTTTGTCCACTCTCTCCTTATCAGATACGGTTCCAAACTCATCTTCAAAGTTTCGCCAAGATTCGAGCAACATGAGTCTCTCTTCCTTCTCTTCACAGTTTCGCATGGTTTTGTTAGCCTCTTCATAAATTTGCCTGCATTTAGCCAAACTTCCTTCTTTTCCTGCAGACAACTCAAACTGAGCAAAACTGATCCATACCTTAGAAAAACAAAGTTATTATACAACCAAATTAGCTATGTCATCCAGAAGTTAATGATTTAGTAAGAAAGCTAATTCTAGTTAATGACATCTAAACACACTAACGTGTTCATATCCAGTATTCCATAAAATACAATATACAAACTACCCCTATTTAGGTATTTGAAATACTCTTAAAATTCTGACAAGAGTTTAACTTCCCACCTCCACCACCCCAATCCTGGGATATCCAACTTATCTGTAAGAGGTATAAACACTGACCTGGTGTAATCTTAATATTCTAAAGTCCTCTGAGACTCACAGGTTCTCAAGTTTAAAAGAAGTAATTTTAAATGAATTTAAAAAAAAAACTTAAAATACAGAAATACAGTATTTTCTTCATTTGAAGCCTGTTGATTCTAGCAAAACCACCAGAAAACGTACAAAGCCCAGAATACCTTGACATGTTGTGTCCGCTGAAGCAATCGTCGGTAAAGATTTCGTGTTCTTTCAGTTTCTTCCTGCTCAATTTCAAAATCAATATACGATTTCCAAAGCACCTAAGAAGATAACATAATAGGTTACTGTTGACATTTAGAATGCAAGGTGCCCCCATCCAAAAAAATCTTGCCTACCAATCTAAGCTACATCCAGGAATCTAGGGCTTTTTTTTTTTTAAATAATGCTTTATCGTGTTTTCGGTGAAGGTTTTCACCGCATTTTAGATTTCCATTCAACAATTTTACACGAATTGTTTAGTGACACTGGTCACGTTCTTCACAATGCATGAACATTATTATTTCCGTTCTGGCTGTTCTGTTTCCATTAATGTAGTTTCCCTGCCCCCGACCTTCTCATCTTTGTTTTAAAGTAATCTCATGGTCTCATATAAATGCTTTTTTAAAGGACAGGAATCTAGGATGTTTACTGAACAACTGAAGAACAAACAGCATGTGGATAAAATAAATAGTACTGATATTTACAGGCTGAACAAATCTTGGCTATAATTCTAGAATATAAGGAAAAAGGCCTTGGATTCATTTTGGGATTTTCTTTCAGAGTCTTTCAAGTGCTGATTTATCAAGGAGGGCTTAAAAAACCCACCAAGAGTCTCCCAGCCACTTTTTCATGATCCTGCCACATGTAGTTGAACTTCTGAGAACACAGACCTGGATCAGACAGTATGCGCTGCTCTCACCTCCACTGTAAATCCCTTGTTACTGTCTGAGTTCAACTCAACATGCATTCACTGAACAGCTGCCCAGCTGCTAGGTAGTCTGTCGGGGCACAAGGATGAATAAAACGTGGTGCTGACCCCTGGGAGCAGGCAGTCTAGTGGATGAATTGATGGAACCAGTAATACAGAAAACCCTGTCCTAATGTCTTCGGGAGGATCCAAACAATTAGATGCTGGGTCCTATTAGTGCAAGATTAACAAAATGGCTGGGCTGGATTCCATGGCTCCTGAGAGGTTCAAATTGGTCCTAGATGCCACCTTGTGGCTCAGGCTTAAATACTGATGGGATGATTCTGAGCCCTGTGGCTGGCCAGGACCTCCACAGCAGCTGCAGTAACTCCAGAAACATCCTGATTTAGCTGGAGCTCCTTCTACTGGCCCAGCCCAAGCCAGACTGTCAGGAGAATCTCATTCTCCACCTCTCTTTATCTCCAGATGGGGCTGCCTGCTAGCTACTTCCCCGCCTGGCCTTCTTGCCCCCAATTCCCTTTAACCTGCCCTGTTTGAAATGGGGAGGAAGGGAGCCAATCACCCATCACACATATCCCAATTCACCCTGGGTGTCACACTGAGGATTTACTGTCTTCTGGTATCAGACTGCAGCCCTGATGGCACAGTGGTTAAGAGCTCGGCTGCTAACCAAAAGGTCAGCAGTTCAAATCCACCAGCCGCTCACTGGAAATCTATGGGGCAGTTCTACTCTGTTCTATAGGGTCGCTATGAGTTGGAATTGACTCGATGGCAACGGGTTTGGTTTTGTTTTGGTTGGTATCAGACTGAAGGGCTGCTCCCCTTTCTATCCTAAAAACAGAAAAGTTCTGCTGTGAGTAGCAAAGACTGGAGGTTAGTTAGCTGGTCTTTATATTCTAAAATGCATACACAGTTAGACAGCCATCAAAATAATTCCAGAGAAGCTTCTAGAACAAAGTGATGTCCAGCATGAGACCCTCACCTCTGGCATGTCCAGGCGAGGCTGGCTGATGGCTAGCTCATAGATGGCCCGGGCTCGTTCAATGTCGCCAAGGATCGCCTCTAATTCTGCAAATTTAATCCAAGAGGTACAATTTTCGGGTCCAAACTCCAGGAACTTTTCGTAAAGCTTCCGGCATCTGTCAAATTCTCGAAGCTGTAACTCCAATTCTATGTAGCCTTTAAATAATTTGTTCTTTGGACATTTGCCTATGGAAGTCCCCTGGAAAATAAAATCACCAAACCACTGATACCTTAGTGGGTTCAACTTGTGCCCAGACGCTGCCCATCTTGAGGCAGGGTGTTGCTGAGGAAGTCCCTGTATACGTGGCTGTCTTTCCCTGTTGTATCCCACGCTGTTCACGCTGGCTTGACACTCGGCTGACAAGAGGGTCTGTGCTCACTGCTCTCTGCTTAGCAAGGGGTGGCATTCCAGAAATGTTTGGGCAAATATTTTGCACTTTACTTCAAGTTTCTCAGGGTCTCTTAGGGAATGTGGATGTCAGATGTATAAAACCTCTTGTAAGTAACTGAAGAAGGAAACCTGCTGTGACAGAGTAGAACTGCCCAAAAGGTCTCCTAGGCTGTAGTCTTTACAGAAGCAGACTGCCAGGTCTTTTCTCCTGAGGAGCCACTGATGGTTCCAACAGATGACCTTTCAGATAGTGCAAAGCGTTTAAGCACTGCACCACCAGGGCTCCTTGCTGCCCAATACTTAATTTTATTAAGGAATTTAAGAACAATTGTTAAGAGTGAGGTACGTTAACAAAAAAAAAGAGATGCATTTAATACAACAATAATTTTGCACAGAATCCGACTGTAATTCTAGTCTAAAGAAAGATCTGGCAACTGGTAGCTATAGAAATTTCCTATGATGAAAAAGAACGTTCATTTGCCCTAGCTAATAAAAATAATATTAAGCATTACCATCTAACGTTCATTCAAAGGCTATGTGCTTTTTAACACATACAGGCTACAACGGCATAATGTTTCTGTTCTTTTTTTAATAGGAATCATACTTGTCAGCACTGCAAGTTTAACTTCCTTCTCACGTTATCTTCTTAATGATGCTTCTCCTCTTTTCCTTACTTACCAGAGCTCTTCGGGCAAACGGTAAATTTTTCTGTCTTATTTCAAACTGTGCATACAGCAACCACATTTTGGCAAATGTGAACTAGAAAACGAAAGCACAAAAACATTTAGCTTAAGAGACGCATTTAAATTTAATTGAGTTAAATTTATTTCAAATTAACTAAAGGCCATCGGCAATCAGTTTTCCCTAAAACTTCAGAGCTAGAATTTATTGTTTTTTTTTTTACCAGCAAAGATGACTGTATTTCATCAAAGTTAAAAACAAACAAGCCAACCATGATCTAGAACCTTTATTGTACTTCATGACACGGCTAGATGCCACCACAGCCCCCACGGGCACAGACTTTGTTCTTAGCTGTTGGTGAGCTGAACATCCCACCGCTACTCTAGAAGGTGACTCAGTCAGTATTTCTATAGAAGAAAACATACTTTGTATCTCATGCTGGGGAATACTCAGACAGTGTCTCCACCAGACAGCAAATGCAGACGTTTACTCCTGTGTGCACACACGCGCCCCGTTACCAGCAAACGCCTGGTCACCCGTCCCCCACACGCTGCGGGCTCTCTGCCTGTGGGTCTTCCTCCTTTGGTTCAGTCTGCTCCTCTGCTTTCCCAGGTCATCCATCCTATTCGTTTGTCACTTAACACGTGTCCTCTCACCTGGACTGTGAGCTCTTTTCAGTGGCAAGGAGCATATCTTTTTTTTTAAAATAATTTATTTCTTTTTCTTGTTGAGAATATACACAGCAGAACATACACCAATTTAAGAATGGAGCATATTTTGTTATTTATATTTTCCGGGGTCGCTATGAGTCAGAACTGACTCGACAGCAATGAGTTTGGTTTTTTCGGTAGCATAAGAAAATATTCAATAAATAAATATATTTCACTGAATGACTTTGCAAGTAGCAGAAGCAGGATTCTGACCTGTTTGGAACTGAACACTTTAGAACAAACATACCTTTTTGTGAGGAATTAGTTTCAAAGAGGCTTGATACACTTGTCTTGTTCTCTCAGGATCCTGTAGTAGGATAAGAAATTTCCACAAAATATTGAAGTCTGTTGCTAATACTAATTTTAGAAGTTACTAATTTTACTAATGAAAACGAACACCCCGAACACTAAATACACTTTCACAAGTTGCTGTTTTCAAGCCCTACTTTCATTTATGATAAAAACGTGAACCACCTTTGGCCACCCAACCTTGGTTTAAGAATCACCAACAATATAGCCATCAAACTCAGAGTGGTTCTTTGGAGAAAGTTTTTGCCTGACAGCAGAAACAGATGTTTTATATTCTCAGATCAAAAGCATAAAATTAATCTTTCCCTGTTAATTTACACACAATCTCTGAAAATGCCACCTGATCTTTACTAGAAGCAGAAATGTACAACCCAGCCATGATCTCTACTTCCCAGAAAACCCAGGAGACTATATATAACTAAACGAGGGGTTGATCATTGTTCTCTTCAGGTTCCAACCAAGCAATATCTCATTATGCCTCAAAGAGACTAACAACAAACAAGCATACAAACTCTGAAATATTACAGACTGAACTGTATGGCTAAACAGAGGTCTATCAGCATTTAAAACTAAATCCCTTTGTTTCAAGGGTTCTAAGTATTAGTTACTACCTACAACAGGCGAGTTCTAAGCCCCGGGGTGAGGAAGCCATTAACGGCTGACCGTGTTTCCATTTTCACCTTTGCCTCCAGCTCCTCATAGAGTGCATAGTTGACCCAAAGGTAGATGTAGCGCTTCCAGTGCCTCTTCTCCTGAATTGGCGGCACGTTGGCAATGGCTCTTTCATAGACTTCTCGCACGGTTTCTGCTTCCGCGTCACTTTCCACCAAGCGTAAATAATCAAACCATGCGTCATAATTGTGTGGATTAGCCTAGAAAGAAAACCAGCTTAATACATAAAAAGAAAAACAAGAGCTACCCTTGCTAGGCTATGTGAGCCCGAAGGGGGCACTTGACTGACCTTCTCCATTACAGCAGCTTTTTTTTAGGTTTTACATGATATCAATTTTAAAATGTTATTCCTGAGATTTTATAAACAGGAAAGAATAAGGACTATAGCCAGCTCAGGTGTCCCACAGCAAGGCCCCTTTCATCTGCAGTCACCACTCCCAAGATAACTAAATAATTAGGTGTCTATTCTTATAAATGTATTGATACATGTGAATACATATAATAATGTGCACATTTAAAATTCTAATGGGATTATACCATGCTGGCAATTGTGAAACCTACCTTTTCAATTAACAGTCATTTATCTTGGACATATCTTACTGACCTACCACCTTGTTTAACACTACAGTTAGTTCTGAGTTTGGAGATCTCTTAATTCATTTGACTAAGCAGAAGGATTTCAAAATACACAGACCAGTAAACGAAAATTCTATCTTACAATTCGGATCAAAACAGCACATTGCAGACAAGAAGCTGAGAATGGAATCCTATCTACATCTTTCCTTCAAGCAGGTAAGATAAAAAGTGATGTCGAAAAACAGGTTTTTTTGGATCAATTTCTGACTCTTCCATCTTCTTTCAAAAATTAGCTGAAACGAATTCCAACTTTCTTTTGCTCAAGTTCTACAGCACAGTCAGCAATCAACCACCTGCTGTTCAAAGTGTGGGTGCCAGAGCAAACCCACGTGCTGTCTGCTTGCCCGTTCCATCAGCTGGTCAACTGCACCTGGCTAAAGAGCTGCTGGTTTACTGCAGACCCATCATCAACTGTGTAATCGCTGGCAGCCTTCACATACTACCCATTTTACTGTATCTAGTACTAGTTAGCATGTCTTAGTTGTCTGCAGTTAACCTTCTCAACCAGCACGCACCTTCACTTCTTCTTCATACTGGAATCTCCGTTTGCTTACGATGATATCTTCAATCCCCCGCCTATCACCAAACTTCTTCTCAAAGATGGTATAATTTTTAAAGAGCTCTTGGGCTTCTTGTTTTGAAATCCTGTCCAGGGCGTACTTGTAGATCACTCGTACCCTTTCAAACTAAAAACAGACAGAATGGTTACCTTCTAAAACACGATATTCTAATTCCAGTCACAACTTTGTGAGTAATTATGACATGAAATATTAATTCTAAGTTATATTTTGGGAAGAGAGGTCTGAAAACTTACTTCCAAAAATCAGTCAATGAAAATCCTATGAATCACAAGGTCCAATCAGCAGCCAATCATGGGAACGGCGCAGGCCTGGGCTGCATCTCATTCCACTGTGCATGGGATTGCAATGAGTTGGGGAGTTGAGAGAGCTGTCCTGCACTGAAGCAGGGAGACTGTGCCTACATGCTTCCTGAGCCTGATCCCAGGTTGTAGCCTGTTGATCCTGCTCCCAGGTTGTACTGTTACTTCCTTAATAAACCACTTAACTGGAAGATGGTCTGTGAGTTCTGTGTGGCCACTGCTATGGATTATTGAACCTGGCGGAGAAGTAGAGAGTGCCATGGGAAGGACAGTTGGTGTCAGAATTGGTAAAAAGGGTTGGACAGTGGAGGTAGGTCTGACCTCCACTGCAAGGAAATCAGCCTTGGGCTGATCCTGGTCATTATCCCCCTGAAGTTAGACAGGTTCTGATGCTACTACTTGTACCGCTCCTACCCTTTTACAACCCTGCATTCGGACCTCGGTCTACCTCTCCAATTTGAGCAATTTTAAGGGATCATTTTCGATCTATACTATAAAAGAATACAACTGACTTATTTGTGGGGCAATCTCTGCTTTCATTTCGAATTCTGTTCTCTATTCTAAGGGCTTTGGGTTTTTTGTTTTCCTGGTTTAGTACCTGTAAAGCCCTTTAATAAGGAAGCCAGGTAACTCTCAGCTTATACACAGTCAGATTTAAAGGCTTAATTTTTAGACAAAGCACAATAAAATTGAAAGAGTTATACAGAATCTATAATCGCTCAGCTCCCAATCTGTAGCACAGCCACAAGTTCATGCTGGTTTCTTTGAGAAACTATGTCTTTTGTATTTAAAGATAAGTGAGTAACAAAAACAGGAATTAAACTCAATGTTCACAAGAAGTAATCTTTCCTAAGTTGTTCTGCAACATAATAGAGTTCTTTAAGTATACTTACTTCTTTCTGATTTTCTTCAAATTTGGCAAAGGCAACATAAAGATGTTCATCCATATGTTCATCTCCAAAGAATTCGACAGCTCTCTCATACACTTTCCGTGCGTGGGCAAAATAGGCATGTTTTTCTTCAAAGCGGGCATACTTGATCCAGTTCTTCACATCAGGGTGTACGAGGACAAGTGCAGGGGAATTAAGGAAACGCTGGAATCCTGGGCAGGCGGCTCAAAATAAACCAAACCAACCAACCAACCAACCAAAGAAAAAAACCCAAAAAAAAACCTCAACAATGCAAACTACAACTACCGAAGCCATGTTATATGACACATGAAGACGAAGAACTACTGAACTATGACCTCTCTGAGGGCAGGGGCTGTGTCTTGTTCATCTCTACCTTCCTCCAGCGCTTATCCAATGCATTCGTAGTGAGTATGAACAGGAACTTGCAGCCAAAGAAAAATCACTAGCCATGTGATCTTGGACGAGTCATTGAAACTATTCAAATCTCAATTTCACGTTATCAGGGACAAATAATACAAACCTCACTGGATTATTGCCAGCTTCAATGAGGAAATGAATGTAAAGCTCTTAGCATAGTTTCATGCCCAAAGAATATGCTCAGTAAATGGTACCTATCATGTAAGGAGCTCTGGTGGCCCAGTGGTTAAGCACTAGGCTGCTAACCCAAAAGTTGGCAGTTTGAACCCACCAGCCCCTCCGTGGGAGAAAGATATGGCAGTCTGCTTCCACAAAGATTTACAGCCTTGGAAACTCTACGGGGCAGTTGTACTCTGTCCTATAGGGTCACCATGATTCAGAACTGACTTGACGGCAGTGGGTCTGGTTTTATTATATGCTCAATAACATTAATACTTGAATTAATAATTTAGGAAAAAAAGCATGTCACCAAAGAAGTGTTAACTAAAGGCAGGAGAAAGTTCTGAATTACCATTCTATCTTTTAAAAGGTATCTATTTTTTCAAAAAAGACTTAAAAATGTATCAATTTTTAATCCACCTTCCTTGAGAGAAATCAGTAATTTCAAAAGTAGTAATACTTTCAAATAAGCAGAGGTTAAGAGAAGAAAAGACTGAAGTTGTCAAGGATTTCATTTTTACTTGAATCCACAATCAACACCCATGGAAGCAGCAGTCAAGAAATCAAAAGACCCACTGCATTAGGCAAATCTGCTGCAAAAGACCTCTTTAAAGTGTTAAAAAGCAAAGATGTCACCTTCAAGACTAGGATGCCCGTGACCCAAGCCATGGTGTTTTCAATTGTCTCACACGCGTGCGAAAGCTGGACAATGAATAAGGAAGACCGAAGAATTGATGCCTCTGAATTGTGGTGTTGGCGAAGAATACTGAATACACCATGGACTGCCAAAAGAATGAACAGATCTGTCTTGGAAGAAGTACAACCAGAATGCTCCTTAGAAGCAAGGATGCCGAGACTACGTCTCATATACTTTGGACATGTTATCAGGAGGGATCAGTCCCTGGAGAAGGACATCATGCTTGGTAATGGAGAGGGCCAGTGAAAAAGAGGAAGACCCTCAACAAGATGGACTGACACAGTGACTGCAACAATGGACTCAAGCATAACAATTGTGAGGATGGTGCAGGACTGGGCAGTGTTTCGTTCTGTTGTACACGGGGTCACTATGAGTTGGAACCAACTCGACGGCACCTAACAACAACAAGAGCACAGGTTCTGAAGTTGCTCTGCAAATTCCACCACCGTCATCACCTGTTAAAACGTTGGGCAAGCTACTCAATCTTGTGTGCCTCCATTTCCTCATCTGTAGAATGGAGCAGTCTCTACACCACAGAGTTGTCATGAAGATTAAATCACTTTAATATTTGTAAAGCACTTAAATGACAGACACACAGCAAGCACTATAAAAGCTTTTGTTAAACTAATAATACTAAAGTGAGCAAATATAATTAAGATCTTAAAATGGCATAATGCTTCAGTTCCTGAAAGTGCTTTCACACGTACTATTTAATCTTCATAATTAGCCCATGGCAGGTATTTTTATCTTGCTTTAAAGATGAGCGCACTGTAGAGCGGATGAGTCGCTGAGCCCACACAGGTGGCAGGCGGCAGGCTCTGGATCATCCTCTAGGAACAGGACTAGTGACCGACACAACCTTAGAAAAACAGAACCGGCTGCAGCAACCAGGATCTTAGTACGCCATTTTCCACACAGAACCACACAGATAAATCCAAAGCCTCACTGGAAAAGACTTTATCACCGCAAATAAGGACCACAAGCTTGTAGTCTGAACAATCCATGTCCCCAGAAAATCAAACAGATAAATCTTCCATCCTAGACTTCCACTCTGGTATTAACGACTACATTTCCTGACCATTGATGACAGCGTTTCTCTGTGGGGAGGAGCAACCCTGTCCAAAGGATATATCGTTCGTAGATGGTGCGGGCCCGATCCACCTCTTTGTACCTCAGCTCAAAGTTGATGTAGGAGTGCCAGGCCTGCTCCTCGGGCTGCCACTCCATCCAGCGCTCAAACACCTGCCGGGCACCAGCAACGTTTCCCAACATCTCCTCCATGTACGTGTACTTGTACCTGTAACAAAATTAATAAAAAAAAAACCTACTGTGGTCAAAATAACTTAGGGGAAAAAAATGCTCTTTGGTGATTTCTAGTTCTTTCTTTGTTAAATGTGAAGACTTAATCTCTATCCTCCCTAAGTTACATCAAATGTGGTTTCTTATTAAGATATAAATCTGAAAACAGATCAATCAATGCAAAGATTTTTTTTCCTTAAAAACTGCCTAGTTTGACAAGAAGTTTCTTGTGCACAAAAGATTGCAATCAAAGTTTTAGTTCTGATTACAGTTATTAAGCATTGATTATGACTTATACTATGGGCCATTAAAAAGTACTTATTAGTATGTTTAAAGAAATGGCAACGTGTAAAATTACATGAAAACAATTATCTCAACTAAAAGTCCCACAAAAATGTGGGACTTTTCTAGTCTACAAAAAACTGTTCTGTGTCATATCAGAAACTCACCAGAACTGGTTGACTCGTGGGAGAGTTGTTATGGCCCGGTCCCAGATATTTCGGGCATGGTTGACCTGGCGATTCTTCATTTCCATTTCTGCGTATTTCAGCCAGAGTGTAATATTTCGATAGTCCACATCTAAAGCACGCTCGTATATGGACCGAGCCCTTAGGAAGCAAGATTTGGAGGACACGAAAATCATACATACAACACATATGGCAACGATTCCAAACTATCTGTAATAACTTCCTATTTTAATGGGTGTCTACCATGATCCAGGTTCTGGACACAAAAAGGTAAAACGATATGAGGCTTGTTCTCAAGGATCTTACAGTCTTATAAAAAGATAGACAGGCATGTAATTATAACCTAATGTGATAATTGTGCCCGAGGAAGCCAAGCAGAAGAAATGAAAACGTCTGGTGGAAAAGGCTAAGTAACAGGTAACTTCAGAATTGAGAACCTGAGGAAAGTTTCTGTTTACCAAGAGGCCAGCCAAGTGCCCAGGTAAGGAGCCAGAAAGTGTCCCGGGTGTGGCAAGTACAGTGGAGGCAGAGGGTACACTGGGAGAGCAGGGAGAGGCTGGACAACAGGAAGGGACATGTCATGATGACAGATCGCACTCAGATTTTTATCCTGTTGGCTATTGGATTTCATTGAAATTTTATTTAAAAAAAATCTCAACGTATAGAAGGCAGAGGGTGCAGTGGTGGTGAATCCCCCTGTGTAGGCTCCTACTGCCATCTCCCCGCCACCAGGCTACTCACCCACAGTGCTCCTGAGGTCCATCAAAGGAGCCCATGGGTTGCATGGAACAAAATTTGAAAACTGCGAGGGACACAAACTTTTACTTGGGCTTTAATTTTTGTAATTTTTTGTATCTGTTACCTTATGACGTGTTTCGATACAAAATCACTCAACAATTTTACCTCTGAATCTCCTTTAGACTCTCCTCCCATTGTGCGTACTTTATCCAGTTACTAATCACAGTCCTGTTTTTCCTTATGTTATCTTCAAAAGTCTGGAGAAATGCAAAAAGAGTCAAGTTAGAGGGAAGACAGCTAAAAATGATACCCTTTGCTTATTAATCCTTGCATTAAAAAGGTCATTCGTTCTGCTCTTATTTAAGAGAAATGACATCCAGGAATCCTTGAAAGATAAACCCACTAAAGAGGATTAGAATCACAGATGTTTCTTTGAAGTCTTACATGTAAACAAAGAGAAAATCTTACATATAAAAATTAGTGTAATTATTGATATTTTCTCCTACTGCCTATGACAACTAATATTCAAACTATACTTATTCCTGATAATAAAATGTTTTTGACTGTTACTTTTAAGTCTTCTTGGTAATGTCTCAGAATTTCATGTATAACTCATTGAAAATAGCTGGTAAGTCCACACAGCAGGATTAGTGGTTTAAAATAATCCCTTATTTTAGGGTGGAAAAATCAAATCAGACCCCAAAGCCTTCTCACAGCTCCTTCCCAGGCCTTAACTGTTAACACAGAAGGTGGCACAGACCACAATCCAGTCTTACTAGCACCCCCTTCTTACAGCTGTCAGTTGTTCCCAGCAGTTAAACTTCCACCTATCTTCAATGCTGCGCCAAAAATGATCTTTCTGGTGGGTTTAATTTCTTTATGCTTTAGAACAGGTAACTCATGGGATATTTAGGTAGTTTAGCAAAATGCAATTACCTGGTAACCAAAAGTTATACTTTTGATGTGGCTAGAAACACTAACCTCTTCTTATCTTACAGGTTCTCTAATCAATGAGGAACTTTTAAAACTCTGACCTACAAATTCATAACAATATTAATAGGCTCTCTGAAATATAACACATTGACTGACCTTCCGTTTCCTTAGTTTGTAATCATTTAACTCTTCTTCATCTGTGATCTTCTGTTGAGGTGGAGGTGGAAGAAGCTCAAGTTCTCTTTCTTTCGCTTCTCTTAGGAGCTGCTCGGCAGTTATCTGTACCTCAGCCGGGGCTTTGTTTTTTACCTTTTAAGACAAATGACATTTCTATATTTGGTAGGTGCTTAAGATTTAAAAAACAAATGAACGTTTTTTAGTTTGTGATCTTCATAAGCATTACTACAAGACACACTGTTTGTATGACATGTTCCCATTTCTCTATGACGCTGAAAAGAAAAAAGATTGTTTTTCTATCTAACATGGGGTATGTATTAACAAAACCATAGGTGAAAAAGTCTCAAGACAAAAGGGAGTAAAAATAACAGCAGGTTTGTCCCTTTAGCTTAGTACAACAACAAACTCTAAGGCTAAGTAAAATCCTAACCACGGGTTTTGCTTTATCAAGACATGTTAACACAGCTACAATTACAACCTCTAGACCCACTGCCGTCCAATCCATTCTGACTCATAGCGACCCTATACAACAGAGCAGAACTGCCCCCATGAGGTTTCCAATGCTGTAATCTTTATGGAAACAGACTGTCACATCTTTCTCTTGTGGAGCAGTTGGTGGGTTTGCACTGCAGACTTTTTGGTTAGCAGCCGAGTGCTTAACCACCATGCCACCAGGGCGCCTCATTATAACATCCACTTTCAGGATTCTTCGGCATGTCTTAATGCCCTGGGTAGATGACAGAGTTTGGTTTTTAACAGCATTTCAAGTAAGACAATATTATGTCAGTTCCCATCATTACACTGCGAGCTTCTTGAGGTCTTAGAGCTGTGCTGTACAACATTCTAGTCACAAGCCACATGTCAAGAGTCCAGATTGAGATGGCTGTAAGTGTGAAACACACACTGCATTTTGAAGACTTAGTATGGAAAAAAAAAAAGCAAACTACCGCATCAAAAAATTTTAATATTGACTACACGGTGAAATGACAATATTGTGGTACATTAGATTAGATAAATTATTATCATTAGTTTCACTTCTTATGTTTTAACGTGGTTACGAGAATATTTACAATTATGTAAGTGGCTCGCATTATATTTCCATTGGACAGTGCTCTCTTATACCGAATCTTGCTCGTTACTATTTCCTTCACAGCTCTTTCTACACAGGAGGTCTCCAACAAAAATTTATGGAACTGAAGTATAAAAAATATTTAATGCTACATGGACTTAATCCAGGACAACACTCTCTCATCCCCAGGGCACCACGGAGGCTGGGCTGGGGGAAGCCCCTTTCCTAGGCAACCCCCCCTTCCCCAAAGAGCCGCTCGGTTGCGATAGCTTACCTTGGCCACTTTGGGAATCCGCTGCTTTCCGGCCGCTGTGGAGGCCGCCATGTCTGCAGCGGTGGGCCTCGGGAGACCCCTGAATTCTAGGAGTTGGCTTCGAGAGTTCACAGACACCCCTGAAGCTGACAACAAGCAGAACCCCGGAAGCGGAAGCGGAACTAGCTTGGCTGACCTTTGACTCCTCGCACTCGCCGTGACGCAGAAGCGCCGTTTCCGTGGTAACGGGATGCGCGTCCTTCCTGGAGCTGGTGGAGGAGCGCGCTCCCTGGAGCTGCTGGTGAGTTGGGTAGAGCCGTACTGGCAGGGAGGGACGTGGAAACTGGGCCTAGAGTGTCGGAGGCGCATCCCCGTGTCGGACTTCGGGACTGAGATGACCGTTGCAGGACGGGTAGATTTGCCAGGCGCCAATGGCCAGCTCCGATTCGGAAGGTCTCGAGCACCGGGAAGCGAGGCCTGCTGGAAACTACTACTCCCAGCATGCCAAGCAGCAAGCTGCCGCGCTCCTGGGTGGCCCAGCGCCGCTTTACATTCTGGGTGTTGTAGTCTCTAGGGTCGGCTCCCTTCTCGTTTCTGGACAGTTGTGTCCAAATAGGAGCCCTGGCGGCACAATAAGAGCTTGGCTGCTAACCAAAAGGTCAGCAGTTTGAATCCAGCGGCCGTTCCTTGGAAACACTGTGGGGTAGTTCTACCCTGTCCTATAGGGTCGCTGTGAGTCGGAATCGACTCGACGGCAACGGGTTTGGTTTTGATTTGGTGCCCAAATAATTAACTCTAATGCTTGGAATTTAAAATAATGGAAGATATTTTAAAGCTAGATATTAATTTAAAAAAAAGAAATGAAAATCAATGCGCAGAGTGACTAAGTAGCAAACCACCCAGCCTTGTGGTCAGATAAACTGATGTTTAAATTCTCCGCGAGTGTGCCTCTTAAATCCTTTTAGCCTCGAGATCAACTATAAGACAGGTATGATAACATCTATTTCACAAGATTAAAAATAAAATCTATGTAAAGTGCTCAGTAATGCTATCTGGTATAATTATTGATCTGCCTTCAAAAATAGAAAAATTGATTATATGCAAGCAAAACATTAAGAGGATTTTGACAGTTGCAAGTTTCTTTTGGTGTTTGCCAAAATAGACATCTACATATTTATGTATGTAGTAATTTCAAGCATGTTCTACTTATGTAGATACTGCTTTAAAAAAATGTTCTATGCAGATTTCTTAAACTGCAGTTATTTTTAACTAACATTAAAATATTTGCCATAGCTTTGTACCACTTATATTACTTAAATATTTTTAAGTTATCTCACTTTACGAAGTTTAAATAGAGTAAGATTTTATATCACTATCATAAAAGAAGTCACTGAACAAAATAAACAAGTAGCTATTAAAATAAAAAGATGTTTAACGATTTCCCTTAAATTTGTAACTATGCATAAAAGAAATTGTTAACAACACACACACAAAAAAATACATCAAAATGACAGTACTAAATTCATACCCATCAATAATTACACTGAATGTAAGTGGACTAAATGAACCAATAAAGAGGCAGAGAGTGGCAGAATGGATTAAAAAAAAACATGATCCATCTATATGCTGCCTATAAGAGATACACCTTAGACTCAAAGACACAAACAAATTGAAACTCAAATGATGGGGAAAAAAATCAAGCAAACAACACTCAAAAAAGAGCAGGAGTGGCAATATTAATCTCTGACAAAATAGACTTTAAAGCAAAATCCACCACAAAGGATAAGGAAGGCACTATATAATGATTAAAGGGTCAATACACCAGGAGGACATAACCATAATAAATATTTATGCACCCAACAACAGGGCTCCAGAATACATAAAACAAACTCTAACAGCATTGAAAAGAGAGACAGCTCCACAATAATAGTAGGAGACTTTAACACACCACTTTCAGTTAAATTCAGAACATCTAGAAAGAAGCTCAGTAAAGACATGGAAGATGTAAATGCCACAATCAACCAACTTGATCTCATAGACATATACAGAACACTCCACTCAACAGCGGCCAAGTATACCTTCTTTTCCAATGCACATGGAACGTTCTCCAGAGTAGACCACATGTTGGGTCACAAAGCAAGCCTTAACAGAATTCAAAACATCAAAGTATTACAAAGCATCTTTTCTGACCATAGAGCCGTAAAAGTAGAAATCAATAACAGAAAAAGACTGGGGGAGAAAAAAAAGCAGATATATGGAAACTGAACAACACCTTGCTAAAAAACTGCTGGGTTATAGAACAAATCAAGGATGGAATAAAGAAATTCATAGAATCCAATGAGAATGAAATCATGTCCTACCAGAACCTTTGGGACACAGCAAAAACAGTGCTCAGAGGTCACTTTATACCAATAAATGTACACATCCGGAAAGAAGAAAGGGCCAAAATCAAAACATTAACCCTACAACTCAAACAAGTAGACAGCAGAAAAAGAAGCCCTCAGGTACCAGAAGAAAGGAAATAATAAGAATTAGAGCAGAATTAAATGAAATAGAGAATAGAAAAACAATTGAAAGAGTTAACAAGACCAAAAGCTGGTGCTTTGAAAAGATCAACAAACTTGATAAACCATTGGCCAAACTGACAAAAGAAAAACAGGACAGGAGGCAAATAACCCATATAAGAAATGAGATGGGTGATA